ATAAGGCTTCAGCAGAGGTACAAAGGACATTGGAAGTTAAAAACTGTATCTCATTAGCATCAGCAAACAAATGTTGGAGTGCTGTGATATTCAACTATTCAATTATTTCAGAAGACAGTAATGAAAGTGACCTATCTGGAAACAATCACCATTTTACTTAAAAAACAATTGCTTAACAACAGAAAAAGGACTTTACTTATGAAATTTATGTTCTACAAATAGTTATAAATGCTGTGCTAATATATGGAAATTCAATATATAATAAATAAAAATACTTTTTTTGCTCAATGGAAGTTGCTTAGATGTATATACAAATTAGGTGACTATTTCTTGTATTCTCTGATCTATTCATAATTTATTAAGTTGTAGTGTATCATTAGAGCAGTTAATAAGGTTTACTTTTAAAGTGTTCTTAGATAAAATGTTATTTAGGTCACATAAATGGAAAAGATTGGCCATTAAAGCAACACAACAATCACACATGCAATTATATTATATACATCTTTAAGTAGATGTCAAAACAGCCTAAATCAATTAGAGTATTAAGCCTTTCAAAAAATGTTGTTTAAACTTTATTTGCACACATGCAGTCATGAAAAAGGTGATGTTTTGATAAGTAACTTGCAGCTTCTGTACACTAAAGAGACTTGTTTAACAGTGGGTGAGGTTTCAAACTGCAAGTTATCACACATGCTAACATTAGAAAGTAAGATGTTTGAAATACTGTTTACTCCAACAGCATCATAACCACTTTTCTTGTTCTCAGCTTCTCAAATGATTCCTATATGCTGATTTACTGTTTTAAATGACTATATACAATACTTTGCTGGCTATAATGTTCTAAAATTAACTAGCTTGAATTTATCACTTGTTTTGATTGATCTCTTTTTTTTTAATTTCACAAAAACAATAAACATGCATACATACGTTTAGTGTATTTAAAAACTTGTTCTACTACCATGTTAAATAGTACAAAATATTTGGGTGTAAAACTTTAGTTATTAGTCCATTGTTGCTCAATTCAGTGCATGATTGTATATCCATAAATTGTTGAATTAAAACATTAAGAAATCCTATTTGACATGTTTTTAAAGAAACATATTTTCTTCTGCTCCTGAAAAATATATCACTTTTTACAAAAAAAAAAGCACTGTCAATATCTTCTGTAAATTCCACTGCAAACATTCAAACTTAAATACCTTTTCAGGTAAAACCAAAACTATAAAATAGTTTATTGTAGAATTACTTGACTAAAAACCAGTTATGCTAAGTTTTTAACAAAACATCAAGGATGCAAAGATTTTTCCATATTTGGATAACATCATACCATTGCAGTTTCATTCATACCAATGAGCTTCTTATAAATGAAACATACTAAAAAGAAAGGGACACTCCATGTGCATCACAAAATCTAAACTCTGTCGTCCCTACTGTATCACCTGTAACTGTTCAATATTTGTTCTCCCCATATTTTGGTGCAAACAAATTATTTGATATCATTTTGTTTAAACTTATATCAAATATTAATCCCACTCATTATTAACAAATTAACTTATGTTGAAGGCAACTAAGAAAAGTCATCTGTTTAATATGAATATTAAATCATTTAATGCTTGCATTCCTTTCAAAGAAGTGATTAAGACTTCAAAACATATTTCTAATCAAGATCCAATTTTAGAACCTATTATGTATACACTTTTTCAATTTCTCATTGGCTTTCATTTGAACAAAAATTACTACAAACACATGTTTGGAGTTTCCACAAGAACTAAAACAAGAATAACTTTTCCCATTTTATTAGTAAAATAAAGTCACTTTTCTTAATAAGAAAATTATACTAATACTGAGCCACAGACAAAACAATGAACTATTAGGTATAACAGCTGAATCAAGAGCTGAACCAAAAAAATGCTTATACATCTCTTCATCGCATACGACCTTCAATACATTGTATATAACTTCCAACTCATAATTTTCAATTTTGATGCTTTTTAAGGAAAGAAAATGTATTAGCTATAGGAGAACATTAAAAAGACACTAATTCATAGATTAATAGCTGCTTATGGTATCTAATGTTTTGGTTGTTTGTGGTTTTTATATGAATAACCATGCAATTGTTTAACCCTTTCAAGATGGTTCACAGGTGAAAGGCCATGTTTGTTGACTCGCATTCAAAATTGTATTAAACTACTATTTCATGAATTTATGTCAATAAGTTTGGTATCAAACTGTAGATTATAATTCAAATTTTAGAAATATATATTACTCAATTTGTTAATTTAAAAGTAAATATTAAAAACCCATATAAACATCGATTTTTGTGTGTCATGGTATTTTGAATGCAGCACTGGTTCAAATTAAATGCTTGTGAAGTCAAAATACTAAGTCTATAGTTCCATACGAATTAGAAACTCAAATTACCAATACTGACAAGCTAGAATATAAAATAAGAACATCTTATCTTTTCTATTTGCTAAGATATTGCTCATGTAATAAATCAAACAGTGGCACCCTGCTCACCTCTTTCCATTTTTGGAAACACTCCCTTATATACACTTACTTCTATACATGACATGAATAACCAATCAGAAGCTCAGAATGTCCCCCTAGTAGTTTTCTCAGCCTTTCTAACCTTCCTTCCATCATTTTATTCTTTTGAATCAAGATTTCAATGAGGTAGGTTTTGTCTCTAGTCTGCTCGAAATTTCATATTCTTTAGACCCATATACAGCTTAGTTACTAAGTTTGATAAATTATAATGGAATTCTATGGTATTGATGTAGTAATTTATGATTTTTTTAGTTATTCAAAAGTATATATAAAACCCAGTAAAAAATGTTTTGTTTCATATCCTCCACGTGCAAAACTTTTAAAGGCTTAGCTTTACTTCTTTATTTACTGTTCTATGTTTTAGGAAAAATAACTTTGAGAACTTATTTCAAAATAGCAATAATCTATATATACATA